CCCCCCGGGGGGCAGGGAAACCCCTGCCCCAGAGGCCTGTTCCCCGGCACCGCCGTATCGGGCCCCAGGGGGAACTCCTCCCCGACGTGCGCGTCATCTGGAAGTGACGGGAGGACGCTGGGCATGCTGGGGGCAGGGCCATGGCCATACAAGGGAAAACTCTATAGTTTTCCCTTGTATGGCCGTGGCCCCGCCCCCAGCGTGCCTGGCGTCCTCCCGTCACTTCCGGGTGACATGCACGCGCACAAGACGCCGGCCAGGAGCTCCCCGCTCCCGGCAAAGATAGACTTGGCAACCCTATGTCTAAGTCATAACCAGTTATATTTTTTACATAATGAAGTACATTAGACCAAAAATCCGATACCTTTTCACACTCCCACCAACAATGCAAAAATGAGCCTCGTGTTGGGGCAGGCAGTTGCTGGAAACCACTGGCACCTAAGTCCAGCAGCGGTGAGGGCCAGAGTGCAGTCTGCATATACTCAGGGTGTCCAGGTCCTGAACTTAGTGACTGAGTGAAAGAGCTGACGTTTGTGAAGCGGGCCTTTTTCAGTGGTGACTCCCCTCAAATTGTGGAACTCTCTGCCACAGGAAGTTCACCTTACTCCTTCACTTCTGGTCTTTCAGACTTCAGCTGAAGTTATTTTGTATAGTTTGGTTTAGTGGTTAAGTGCGCGGACTCTAATCTGGGAGAACCGGGTTTGATTCCCCACTCCTCCACTTGCAGCTGCTGGATGACCTTGGGCAAGCCACAGTTCTGTCAGAGCTGTTCTCTCAAGGGCAGTTCTCTCAGAGCTCTCTCAGGCCCACCTACCTCACAGGGTGTCTGTTGTAGGGAGGGGAAAGGAAAGGAGTTTGTAAGCCGCTCTGAGACTCCGAGTGAAGAGCGGGGTATAAATCCAATTTCTTCTGCTGCTGCTCCTGTTGTTACCGAGGGCAGTTTCAATTCTGCTCTTGCTCTTTGTGTTGATAGATGGCTGGTTTTATGGGATGTTTCAATTTCCATGATTTTTGTTCACAGATCTCTGATGCTGCAGTCATTTGCTTTCTCCCCAAATTGTTTTTTTAATTACTTTATTCACCCCAAAGGAGGTTTAGTTAGCGTACTGTCAAGAAAAAAGAGTGGATCCTCTTACTTTTGCATGCAAGAAAGATGTACAGAGTAAAACTATTTTTGTGTATCACATTCTTAGGTAGATTATCTTGCATTCAGTGTTGTCTTCCTTTTGGTTAAATACAGTAATTGGTAATGTAGTGTAGTTGTCAGAGTATTGGGCTAGGAACTGATGGATGCAGATTCAAATCCCTCCACTACCATTGAACGCGTTTGGTGGCCTTAGGCCGGTCACTCGCTCCCAACCTAGCCTCACAAGGATGTTGTGAAATAGCAGTTTTCTGAGTTAAATTCCTCCCGACATGTACAACAGGAACCCCGACCCTCCTTACCCAATTATGACATATTTTCTGCAACTTTGGCTAAAATTACAGTCTAATAGTCTGGAAAGAGGAGCATTTCCAAATGCTGTATTTATGGAAGATCGCTCCCTCAATGGCTGTTAGCCACAATGGCTTAATGAAGCCTCCATGTTCTGAAGCAGTGTACCTCAGAGGATCAGTTGCTGGGGGCAGCTATGGCGGGATGGCCTTGGCCTCTGCATCCTGTCTTGTGGCTGATCCTGCAGGGCCTCTTGTGCGTCCTCATGACCCTGCCGTTTTCCTCTTTCCCCCCCGTCCAGGTGGTTCAGTGGGGGTTATCCACCCTTGGCCTAATGCAGTACGCAGACAGACCCGCTGGCCGGTACAGCGGGGGGAACAAAAGGAAGTTGTCCACGGCCATTGCCCTCATTGGAGCACCGCCTGTCGTCTTCCTGGTCAGTGACACGGCCTGGGCGGAGTTTGGGGGGGTGGGGCTTCCTCCTGCCTAGAAGACCCCTTGCAGAATGAATCTTCTCTTTCTGTGGGGTGGGTTTTTGCTTCCAGGATGAGCCGACGACCGGCATGGACCCACGAGCAAAGCGTTTCCTGTGGAACTGCATCCTGGGCGTGATCAAGGACGGCAGGTCTGTGGTGCTCACGTCACACAGGTAAGAACAGAACCTGACGGGTTTACCTGGGCAGGGAGTGAGGCTCTCTCTCCAAGGCCTTTTGCAACTGGGCGGAGATCCTCCAACCGGAGACAGCATGGTGCCTTCGTGTTCAGCTGTGGCTGGCTTGCTACGTGTGTATGCTGCCACAAAATGCGAACCATGTGCTGTCAGCTTCCCAGTCAAATCACTCTCCACACACATTGGCAGTGAATGCTTTATTTAGAGATATGAGATGCTGTGGGTTCAAGCTCTTTGTTAGGACTGAATTGCAAAGGCGGGAAAAGCAAGATATAGGTAAAAACCCCACATTCCATGCACTCAAACGTCAGCATTACTACAGTGACTCTGAAAGATATACAGCCACCATCTAGCCAGGCACAGTCTTTCTCCAAGGACATTTCTCTTGTGAAAGATGTCTCGGGGCCTCTTAGGAAAATGATCAAGCAAGCCTAATTCACTACACACATTCTCTCCCCCCCTTAGGAAGGCAATGGCAGGGAAGGGCAATGATAAGGGTACAGAATGCAAGCAGAATAAATCCGGTATGGACAATATAACTGTCTCAGCCAGCCAGCCTGCCCCATGCCAGATGCCCGAGTCTGACATGTGCCTGGATCAGTAGAAAAGAGCAAGAGTCCAGTAGCGCTTTAAAGACAAACAAAATTTGGGGCAGGGTAGGAGCTTTCGTGAGTCACTGCTCACTTCTTCAGTACAGCTATGGTGCTCCTGGACTCTTGCTCTTTTCTGCTGCTACAGACAGACACAGCCACCCATCTTGATCAATCTGACGAAGTGAGCGGTGACTCACAAAAGCCTATACCCCGCCACAAATGGTGTTAGTCTTTAAGTTGCTCCTGGACTCTTGCTCTTCTCTGCGGCTACAGACAGACTAACACGGCGACCCGTCTTGACCTCCTTTCCCTTCCCCTCCCCACAACAGACACCCTGTGAGGCAGGTGGGGCTGAGAGAGCTCTGACAGAAACGGCTCTTTTTTCAAGAACAGCTCTTGTCAGAACTACGGCTTGCCCAAGGTCGCCAGGTGCGAGTGGAGGAGTGGGGAATCAAACCCGGTTCTCCCAGATTAGAGTCCGTGCACTTAACCACGACACCAAACTGGCTCTCAGTAGCCAGCCTGATGGATTGGGTGTCTGACTGTAGACAAGGCACCTCCACAGTGTCTCAGCTTCAAGGAGGAAATCTTAGCATTGCAAAACAATTCCCCGTTTGTCTCTAATGCGTTGGGTTACCAGATGTCCTCTTTTAGAGGACCTGTCCTCTTTTTTCTGAGTCTTTCTTCTTTGGGGCTCTTTTTTAAAAAAACTGATCAAAATGTCCTCTTTTGGAGTTGGAAGGCGTGACAGAGCAGGCAACAGGCCTTACTTACAGGCCCATAGTAACGTACAGACCCTGTTCTGCCTGCCCCTTCCGTGGCTGGTGCTGATTCCTGGAGGGTGCTGTTCCACTTCCTTTCACTAGGGTACTGCTGCCACCACTGTCCTTTTGGGGTCTTCCTGCTAGGAGGGACAGACTCCTGACTCCCTTTCTCAGTCCTGCCACCCAGCGCCTGGTTACCGCAGGGACCAAATTGCTTATTTGGGGCTCCCCTGTAGGGTTGGCAACAGGTGCCTTTATGGCTTCCCATTTCCCCCCCCCCATGCACAATACTAGCATGTCCAAGCAGTTGGGAAACAGTATGGCACAGAGAACACTACCAGTGTCAAAGAGTAAAGTATTTATTAGTTTTAAAAAAGGAAACGTTCACAAGTCTACATTTAGCCCAGCACGCACCAGATCAGCAAACGGAGACGAAAGAAATTGGGAATAAACGCATTCCTTCTGTCCCGGAGATGAACACGCCACAGCTAGATGTTAAAGTAGAGCAGGCTCAAATAATCTTACAGAGTTACAGGATTTTCGAAAGGTGTCCCATTACCTCAGGCTCCCCTGCAGACCGCCGGGCTAACCACATGGTCCAAGATGGCTGCCGGCTTGCAGGCCAGAGACCAGAGGTCTGCTCAGTTTAGCATCCTAAGGAGGAAAAAAAGGCCACCTTCCCCTTGCAGGGAAGTTTCTCCTTTGTCTTCACCCACTTTACATCACTCTCTCCACCCCTTTTGACCTGGTCCGCCCAGGTCACACAGATGGGCCTTGGGACACCCAGGTGCATCCTGGGGCACGCAGATGCATCCTGGGAGCCCTCCTGGAAGGCATTCTGGGAAACCTCCAGGAGTCATCTGGAGATTCCTAACACCAAATCCCTCAGTTGACTTTGCTAGCCAGAGTCATTAGCATAACTATGGCTGTGAACTAGCAAGCTATTGAGACTGGCTTCCTGTTACTTGGAAAAGGGAACAACTCACACTTCTGAAATACAGGGAAGGGGGAAATCAGGAGGGGCAGTCTGCTATGGCCTGCCAACCTCCCTCCAGGAGAAAATACATTTCTTCACACTTCCCCCCCCAAAAAAAGATTCCAGTGGAAGGGTACCTCTTTTCAAAAGAGGGGCCCTGCAGCGGAATCTGAACAAGTAACAAATACCTGTACAAGATAACTCAGTTCCCATTAGCGAATGTGCATACTAGTCCTTTAGCAAACAACAACACACAAACATATGTCTACCCTAATAGTCTATGTCCATCCTGGAAAGGAAATCTGCACCCACAGTGGTGCATCCAGAAAAAATGTCCAGTCTTTATGATGTACTCCTCCGCCTCCCAAGACCACCTCTGAAATGTGGTGTTCTTCCTCGGTTGCAGCCATTGCTGGGATGAGCAGTCTGTCCAGGGAGGGAATTCTTGACCCCCCCACAAGTGAGGTCGGGAATTGCCAGTTCCCACACAGTTGCTGCTACCTTGGCACTCATCGGTGAAATATTCTCCCGTAAGGTAAAGGTTCCCTTGCTTGAAAGCCAGTCGAGTCTGAGTCTAGGGTTGCAGTGCTCATCTCCGTTTCAAAGCCGAAGAGCCAGCGCTGTCCAAAGACGTTTCCGTGGTCATGTGGCCAGCATGACTAAACACCAAGGCGCACGGAACGCTGTTACCTTCCCACGGAAGCGGTACCTATTTATCTACTTGCAATTTCTTGCTTTCGAACTGCTAGGTTGGCAGGAGCTGGAACTAGAGACGGGAGCTCACTCCGTCATGCGGCAACCCGGGTCTCGAACTGCTGAACTACCAACCTTCCACAGCCTGCAGTTCAGCGTCTTAACCACTTGAGCCACCGCAGCTCCTATATTCTCCCATATCCACTCTTTATTCCCAGAAAACCATCTCTGGCATTCTAACCACCCATTTTCCTCGCTTGATGCTGAGACCTGTCCCCTGGTTGACACTTAGCACTCTTGCTCAATACTCCACGGGCAACCCCAAGTCCCTACAGAAAGCCCTGATGAAATCCATGTGAGCCACTGTCTGTCACTTCTGACTTGCCACTCCACAGGTCATCTACCATCTTCAGAAAGATTGCATCTGTGTTCCTAAATCCAACCTGCCGCACAGTAACCTCGGGCAAACTCTTTGGAGTGAGGAAGGCAGATTTAACTCTGGCCTCTTCCTCCAGTTCAAGTTGCCAACAGCCCTTGCCATCTGCTCTGTAAGGGGGCCACCCAACGGGCAGGTGAGACCCTGCATCCATTTCAAGCACAGCCAAATCTGTTTCCCCTGATTTCTTCCTGAAACCCATCTGCCACTGATGTGCAACTGAAAGCTTCTCTCTCTGCCTTGAAAACACTGGCTTTCTACCCATTCCAGCTTCCCTTGCTGCACCTGTTCAGAAAACTGAGCCAAGAGACCCCTATTAAGTGTCCACCTGGCTCCTCAATTCCTCCTTTTCCTGTCACACTCTGCACTGATATTTCCCTGTCCAGATTAGGTTTCCACCTAGAATCATAGAATGTTAGAGTTGGAAGGGACCTTACAGGTCATCTAGTCCAACCCCCTGCACTCTGCAGGAGCATAGCCGAAAGATAGCCCTACAACATACCTGAAAGATGGTCATCCAGCCTCCGCTTGAAAATGTCCAGCAAAGGAGCATCCACCACCTCCCTAGGCAGACTGTTCCACTGCTCAACCACTCTTACAGTTAGGAAGTTTCTCCTGATATTCAGCTGGTATCGACTCCCTTGTAATTTCCACCCATTAGATCTAGTCTTGCAATCTGGAGCAAGAGAGAATAGATCCACTCCATCTTCTACATGACAGCCCTTCAAATACTTGAAGACTGCAATCATGTCCCCTCTAAGGCTTCCCTTTCCCAAGCTAAACATACCCAACTCTTTCAGCCTTTCCTCATAAGACTTGGATTCCAACCCTCTCACCATCCTGGTTGCCCTCTTTTGGACATGCTCGAGCTTGTCAACATCCTTCCTAAAATGTGGTGCCCAAAACTGGACACAGGACTCCAG